GTGTACAGCCTGGTCCTGCACAGCAAGGGTGGGCCAGGGCCCCTCCCCCTTCCCCGGGGCCAGTGTACCTGCTGGGATGGCCTCGGGTCGCTGACTTCTCCCGCAGGGCACCCTAGGTTCTCCGCAGGGTGACATGGGGTTCCCCTCCCCCCACGACCTGCCATGAGGGTGCTGAGGACAGGTCCCTGGAGACTCAGGTGGCCCCTCCATTCCCCTCGATGTGGGAGCAGCAATCGGGGACTGTAGGCCCCCCCTCTGCCCCTGAGAAAAGTGGGGGTACATTTGGGTGCATGAGGTCTGCCCATCCAGGCGGCTGACCCATAGCCAGCTCCTCACTGGGTCTGAACCCCCTAAGGAGGGTGGGAGCCGTGGCAGAGGGGGCAGCCCAGGCCTGGGGGCCTCCTGGTGGGTGGCCTTCAGGTGAGAAAGACTGAAGGCTGTGCCAGCTCCTGCCCCCCTCCCCGCCCAGACCCTCCGCTCCTCACGCCTCTCCCCTCGGCTCAGGCCCAGACCCAGGTCCTCAGCAAGATGCCTTCTCTCCCCAGTGTCTGAAGGCCGGCGGGACCAGTGTGAGGCGCCCAGTGACCCCAAGTTCCCTGACTGCTCAGGGAAGGTGGAGGTGAGGCCTGGGGCTGAGGCCGGGGGTGGGGGTGGCCAGGAAGGGGGCTCCTCCGTGGGGGCCGCCCCCAGACGAGTTCTGGGATTCGCTGTTGGCAGGGCTGTCCGCTAGCTAGGGCCTCCCTGCCCAGGCCCCGCCCTGACCCTGGCCCTGGCGGGCAGGGCCAACCTCAGGATAACTGCGTCTCTGTGAGGGCCATCGGCCTGGCCCACCCCCAGTCCCAGGCTGAGCCACGTTCCAGCCCTTTTTATAGCAAACGAGCTGTTAAGTATACGGGTGCTCCCGCCAGCAGCCCGATTCCCCACAAATTCAAGCGAGGAGTGGACGTGGTCTCTCCTCACCCCTCGGGTTTAACCAGCTGCACTGAGACTCCCTCGGGCCCACCTCCCAGGACCGACGGCTGCAGGAAGTATGTCCGTGGGGCCAGCGGGGCCGTACAAGCATCTCCTCACGGGTTCTGGGCTCCCTGCGAGGGTGGGGGCAGCACCGCGGACCCTTCCCTGCGGAGCACTGTGGGTGTCCTGCCCAGCCCCGCCCTTGGGCTGCTCCTGACCTTGGCCCCGT